GGAAAGATTATCTCGATCCAGAAGATGCTGCTATGGTCGAAAATTATGAAGAAGTCTTAAAAGAACACGTAAAAAAACCTGGCCATTTTATATGGTATGAATGTACTCCTTTTGAATTTGGATCCGAAGAATTTCCTGGTAAGCCTTAATTTATTGTTTTGTTTTTTTCATTTATAACAGATTTATTTAAAATATAATTAAATCAAAAATCAAAAAAAAAAATCTTTTATTAACAAATAGCATACGTTCCAACATGGGCATTTGGTCGAAAATTTGAATTTGGTAAAAGTATTAATCGTGTACCTGAACAAAACCTTGGTTTAATGATTGGGTGAGTTAAACTTTCAACTTTATTATTTTTTTTATCGTTTACCAAAAATATTGACTTTATATTAATTTGACATTTAGCTTATTCGGATCTGCACCGTCTGCTCCTCTTATTTTCGAAATCAATCAATTTGAACTGGCTCTTGGAAGTGGTTGGGTGAAAAACCAATTTACAGATGTATATGCCGAAGTAAATTGAAATTATTATATTCCAATAATCGAATATTTTATATTATATTATATATACTTAAATTATTCATATTTATTTTCTAGGCAATTAAGAAAATTGGTGATAATAGAAAAGAAGTCTTTGAAGGTCATCATCCTGTCCCAACTCCAAAAAATAATAATTTCATTTATCATATTGATCCTCCACCATATAAACTCGGTCTTACGAGTATACCACATCTCAGTCTTATGGATGCCGGTGTATCCAATGATTCTCCAGTTTATCCGGTGACTCGTCCTGCTAGAAATATTGAAATTGTTATCGGTTTTGATTGTTCAAGTGTTATTGTTGGTCGTGAGTTATTTGAAACTGAACAAAAAGTCTTTTGTGAGACGAGAGGATTTGTCCGTAAAGAACGCGATCTTACCAACAAATATTGTGAAATTCATGATTTTACTCCAAATGGTGCTACTAATGGTTTTTGCCCACCCGCAGATCATCCTTTTACATTATGTTATTTCCCATATTTACCTAATGATAAGGTTGATCCAAAATTTATACCAAGTACAGAAAAATTCATGGCTTTTAATAACTTTACATATACTACTGAACAAGTCGAAAAGACGGCTCAATTAGCCAAACAAAATTGGAAGGACGGTGAACAAAAAGTTAAAGAAGTTGTTATTGAAGTATGGAAAAAGAAAAAAGCTGCTAGATTGAGTGGTAAAAAATAAAACCACCTTTTTTATATTTCTTTTGTGTATTTATAAAAAAAAATTATTTATGATCATTTTATGTATAAACTAAAGCCATGTAGTTTACATTTATTTTATACTTATTTATTTTATTTATTACGTAACTATCAATATCAAATTACAATATTAAAATATTTGTATATGAAAATGTAAAATATATCTTTTGTATTATCTTATTACATGTTGCTGATTAGAGTTTGGAACTTTCTGAACGTCCAGATTTTTCCCGTATTCCATTCCAGTGGCAAACCCCACAGTAATCCCACTGGGACAAACATATATTAGCCAATAAAAATACACATAAGTATGCAGTAATTATGCGTATACAATTTTGATACACCTTAGATTTGTAACTAGATTTACCCAAAAATTTTATAATACCATATATCGATATCATGCGCGTTAAAATATACGATATCGCATGAGACAAAATACTAGAAAACACATGTCAGTACATGCATTGTTGCATGGAATCCACGAGTTTTCATGTATTTTGACGTAGCTGCCCCATCGGATAGCTTAGAGATTACGGAAATTACACTTTTTTGTATTATGATTTAGCTTCGTATTTAAGGGTATTCATATGTTCTACAAAAAAATTTTTCTATTAGCATTAGTCAAATAATTGTTTTTGAAATTTGATTGGATGCATTAACGTGACCTGTCAAGTGCTATTATCAAAATTTCGCAAGAAAAATTACAGAAGGCAGTAAAATTTATTTGATCTGAAAATTTAATTAGCTAGTTAAATTTTTGGTAATTCTGGGGCAAATATTATGTTTTATGCATTTCACAGAAAATACAGAATTTGGATGCAAACGTATGGTAGTTATCGCGGAATGAATTGTTCACGGATATTTTACACGTACACGTTGATTTCGAAATGTTGCGATGATACAATATGTAAGAACTTAAAATACAAGCGTAATTTGAGCAAGAGGTTCGAAGTTTTCCGAATATTTATCCATGAATTGAATGCAATGTAGAAGCATGAGAATTTATTTATACCTCTATATTTCTTATTTTTATTATTCATACCTAGTGATACGCGGGTCGTACTTAGGGATGGGTTCGGTTACGGTTACAGCCGGTCACTGACCGGTTATAACTATAACCGATACCCTTCGGTCAGAGATTTTTGACTGACCGGTTATATTTAAAACCGATGCCCTAATTTAATAAATTTAAGTTTTGAAGCGATTAGTGTACAAAGTATCATATAAAATAAATTATTTAGAGATAACATTATCATTATCTCCAAGATTTTCATTTTGTGATACGTACTCATGTAATTTACTTTATTTTTTGCGGTGCCGCTCACTTCACCGAGTCATTTTACTGAAAGTTCATTTAGCCGACATCACATGGGGTTAGGGTTAGGGTTTTATTAGTTTCAGGTATATATTTTTAGTAAATTGTCACTTGGCGTGATGTCGGCTAAATGAGCTGTCGATGAAATGATTGTCGGTGAAATGATACGGATCTTTATTTTTGTCATATGAAATTTTGCATAATTACAAGAGTATCACTAAATAAAATCTTGAAGATAACGATAATATTATTATTATCTTTAATAAATTAGAATTATTAAGAAATTCGACAACAGGTATGAGATCAAGTTTAATAAGTTGTAATTGATATAAACTTAGCTTATTGTTATCGTTATTGTATCATAAAAAAAGTCTTTGAATATATAATCTTTATCATGATCTATAGAGGTTGGACCAGTTGAGAAAATCTCTGCTCGATTATTAAATTACCAGGTAATTTACTATATATCTCGAGTGATATAGCAGCAATTTTTACCCAGGTCCAATTCTTATTATCTAGTTATTGTAAACAATTCGTGATGTTCTAAACTAGGCAATAATTTAGTATCACATAGTTTTTGAAATATTGCTTAGTTTTGGATGTCTCAAATTACATTACTAATAGTGTTATTGGTATAAATAAAATAATAAGTAGTTTTAAAATCAAATTTTAAAACACCTAAATAAGGTTTTTTCCCATTAGGGCTTTTTCCTAGGCAGTTAGCATATATTTTAGTATTATTTGATATTTATATAACTATTAATTTATTCTTTATTCTTTTAAAAATATTTATTATATAAAATATATACCAGGAACGGAGTGATGAAATCACGAAGTGTATAGTTATATAGCAATTTAAATGGCGTTCGTCCACAAAAACTCGTGAATGATTGGATAATGAATCGAATGCACTTAAATTTCACAATGTTACATCGTCACATGGATCTGGATTTTTATGTATTAAACTTGCTTTGTTACTAGTTTAAGTGTGAGAAATATGATCTTAACGTTTGAACTTTAACAGAATAATAACGATAAAACTAAAATTAAACCTTTTGTCTTCTGAAAATAGAAATAATTAAAGATGTATCACTTTACAATTATGTAATTTATAACATTATAGTTAGCCTATTTAATGTTTAAAATGAAAACATTTGTAGATAAATTATTATTTATACCAATTGCCCTTACTCGATATGTTACATATAAAGCTTTCTGTACCTTCTAAAACTATGTTATACTATTAATACTATGACCGATCTAGTATTTTGTTTGAAAAACATGTTATATACAATACCAGTATTCTACACTATTAATAAATATCAGCTTCCTTATTAAAGAATCAATGTGGCATGCGAATTGCCTCTTAAATTAACTTAGCTTAGTTAGGGTTTGACTTAGGTTGAGTTAGTTTAAGAGCAATTCATGTGTGATATTAACTTGTTAGTAAATAGACAAATTAAATCATGTTGGATTAATGAATTGAAATTGTCACATTAGTGGTAACATTATAAGATACTGTATTACAAATTTTACAGGATTATAAGAACTCGGTCCCAGGTCTTACTTTAAGGTGAGTATAAATTGAGTGATTTAATTTCTGAAGTCAAGATATATTACTATCAGGCATAACAGCATTTTTTTTTTTTATATAAATGCATGTTTTGTTATCGTTACCAGTATTCTTATTTGGTAATAAATTTAATATACAAAAAATTTTTTGGATATATTAAATATTGACTAAAAAAAATGACAGAACAGTTATTAGACAATTTTAACCAATTAAGCTTCAAAAAAACAGCAGATAAAGGAAATATCGATGGAATATTTATGCTTGTTTATTATCATAAACATAGAATTGATGTCGAAAAGGATAAGTATAAGGCATTCACATACTATCAGAAATCTGTAGGATTGAATAATTTAATGGAATATTTCAAGTTGGCTTTTGTTATTATAATGAAATTGAAGTTAAAGTAGGTGAACACAGAGCATTTGGGAATTACTTAAAATCAGCTTAAAGGCAATTCTAATGGAATCTTTAAAACTGCTATTTGTTATTATTACGGAATTGGCATAGAAAAAATGAAGACAAATTTATTGAATGGATTATAAAGTAAGTTAATAGTAATTAATCTTTATAGTTTTCATTTAAATTATAAATATACTTACTTATATAATATATACTTTTATATAATTTTAATTATCAGGGAGTAAGCTATAAATAATTCGTTATTAGCCCATGAGTATGATCATCTAATTATGAACATAAAAATTAATTGAATTCAGTAGAATTAAGATTACAAACATTAAATAAATACTTATTTATTCATAATACTTATCTCTAAATACTTATTTTCAATTAATTACCTAATACCCTTC